GATCAATATTCACAGGAAATAATCTGCTCAAAATGTATCCAAATCTCTGGTTTTACACAAACTTCCTGCAGTTACTGAGTTCACTGTTTACAGTTTATCAGCTGTTCTCTTCTGTTATTGTTGTTAGTGAATATAATATTTACTTTTATTTACTCACTGATAGAACAGAAAAGGTCGGGAATCGCTGATTTAGCTCACAAACAGTAAATATTCAGACCTTTTAGAGACGATCTGAGTGTAACGTTGTGTTTGTTTTATATAAACAGCAGTGAGTTGGACGGCGTCGTTACCGTGTTCCTCCACGGAGTTGATTGAACCAACGCTGCTGTTCATGCGATTAAAACGGGATCAGGGCGTCGAGGTTTTGAACGCCCTCCTCTGTGTGTTTTTTGATGATGTTTTCTCTCTTTATCTCCCTCCTCCCCTCACACAGGGCTTCTTTGTGTCAGTATTTTACTGCTTCCTAAACAGTGAGGTAAGCAAATTCACATCCTCTTATTGATCTAACATTTTATGTCTCCCCCTCTCTCCCTCCCTCCCCCTTTTTGATTCACACAATTATTTATAATGCCCTTATTCGGGCGCTCCCACTCTCCCTTTTGGTGGCTGCTGCTGTGTGTTATTGCAGGGAATTGAGTGATAAAGCTTGAAGCACTTATATTAAGGGCACAATTAAGACTTGTCATGTACTGACATAAGTGACATCACTTTCTACGCTTCATGACAGTGTCAGACCTAATTTGGTTCTGCAGAGAAATCAGGGGTGAGACCCGCTCAGAATAGCACAGAAATATGAATATGCATGCACGCAGTAATGCTACTTAATGTTTAATGTATGGTGTAATTAATATTAGTCGTAGTAGTTGGATTATATTTATTAGTAGAGGTGTTTTTTTAAGGCTTTGCTGTGTTTTTTGCATGATTGTCCTCCATAAACAGACATTATTCACATATTTACATCCAGTAAACACAAGTTTTGCTCCTTTCCTGCATTAATTACACAACAAAAATCATATAAATCTTTTTTCCTTCCATCCAAACTCCATAACCCTTCCCCTCCTCTAACTAGCGAACAATCGTACTAACGTAAACAGTTAATTAGTTCATTTTAAAACCGTACAAACAGATAACCGATGTCGGGCTCATATCTCTCCTCTTAAATCCAGAATAAACCAAACAAAGAGTTCTGGATGCTAACACTGCTAGCACGTTGGTGTTAATGTATAATATTCTTTAGTTTAGCATGTTAACATTCTGACGTTTAATAATTAGCACTTAAAAGCATCTGATGGGATTAATTTGGTATTTGGTCATAAACCAGATGGGAATTTTAACTTATTATAATTAAAAAATAAAACTCATCTCAGAAACTAAATAAATGTGTTTGTTGTAAAGAAATCCTTTGAATCACTTTAAATTTGAGGGAAAAACTTAATTTATGACTCAATTTCAATAGTTTTTCCTGTATCAGAGGTTATTGACCTTTTATCTTTGAGCTTGTACAGATTTATTATTTCCAGATACTCCAAGAAATCACATCAGAACAATAATCCAAGTACCACAATATTAAAGTAACTTGATTACTGTCCATTATTAGTTTACCTCAACACCACATATGCTAATTAAAAACAAGAAAAGAGAATCAACAATTAGTATTGATGAGAGTTTAATTCTATAAGACAACAGAACAATATAAAAGCGAAGAAAATGGAAAGTTTCAG